TCTTCTTTGGAAAAACGTCCATTCATGTCTTCTGCCCAATTTTTTAACTGGATTGTCTGCTTTCTGAGTGTGGAGATTTGTAAGTTCTTTATACATTTTAGATACTAATCCTTTATCTGACGTGCCATTTGCAAATATCTTCTCCCACTCTGAAGGTTGCCTTTTAGTTTTGTTGGTTGTTTCCTTCGCTGTACAAAGTGTTTTATCTCGATGAAGTCCCAATAGTTTATTTGTGCTTTTGTTTCCCTTGCCTTGGGAGACATATCTAGCAGGAAGTTGCTGTGGCCAATGTCAAGGAGGTTACTGCCTGTGTTCTCCTCTAGGATTTTGATGGATTCCTGTCTCACATTTAGGTCTTTCATCCATTTTGAGTAGTGTAAGAAAATGGTCCAGTTCCAGTCTTTTGCATGTTGCTGTCCAGGTTTTCCAACACCATTTGTTGAAGAGACTGTCTTTTTCCCATTGGATATTCTTTGTTGCTTTGTTGAAGATTGGTTGACCATGTAGCTGTGGAAACATTTCTGGGTTTTTTATTCAGTTCTATTGATCGATGTATCTGTTTTTGTGGCAGTACTATACTGTCGTGATCACTACAGCTCTGTAATATAGCTTGACGTCCATCCTTGTAATGCCTCCAGGTTTGCTTTTTCTTTTTCAAGATTGCTTTGGCTATTTGGGATCCTTTGTGGTTCCATACAAATTTTAGGATTGTTTGTTCCAGCCCTGTGAAAAATGCTGTTGGTATTTTGACAGGGATTGCATTAAATTTGTGGGTTGCTTTGGGTAGTATGGACATTTTAACAATATGTGTTCTTCCAATGCACGAGCATTGACTGTCTTTCCATTTCTCTGTGTCCTCTTCAATTGCTGTCAACAGTGCTTTATAGTTTTCAGAGTGGGGGGGGGCTTCACCTCTTCTGTTAGGCTTATCACTAGGTATCTTATGCTTTTGGGTGCAATTGTAAATGAATTCCTTGAATTCTCTCTCTGCTGCTTCATTATTGGTGTATAGCAATGCACCAGATTTCTGTATACTAATTTTGTGTCCTGTGACTTTACTGAATTCATACATCAGTTCAACCAATTGTTGGGGGGGAGTCTTTTGGGTTTTTGGTATTAGAGTATCATGTCTTCTGTGAATAGCAAAAGTTTTACTTCCTTCTTGATGCTTTGGATGTCTTTTATTTCCTTTTGTTGTCTGATTGCCGTGGCTAGGACTTCCAATGCTATGTTAAAGAACAGTGGTGAGAGTGGGTATCCCTGTCTTGTTCCTGACTGAAGAAGAAAAGCTCTCAGTTTTTGCCCATTGAGAATGATATTAGCTGTGGGTTTTTAATATATGATCTTGATTATGTTGAGGTATGTTCCATCTATCCCTACTCAGCTGATGGTTTTTATGATGAATGGACATTCTACTTTATCAGATGCTTTTTATGCATCTATTGAGAGGATCATATGGTTCTTATACCTTCCTTCATTGATGTGGTGCATCATGTTGATTGATTTGCGAATATTGAACCACTCTTGCAGCCCAGGAATAAATCCCACTCGATCATGGTGAATGATTCTTTCAGTGTACTCTGGGATGTGACTTGCTAATATTTTCTTGAGAATTGTGGCATCCATGTTCATTACGGACATTGGCCTGTAGTTCTCTATTTTGCTGGGGTCCTTGTCTGGTCGTGGGATCAGGGTAGTGCTGGTCCCTTAGAATGAATTTGGAGGTATTCCTTCCATTTCTATCTTTTGGAATAGTTGAAGAAGAATAGATATTAACTCTTCACGTTTGATAGAATTCCCCTATGAAGCTATCTGGCCCTGGATATTTGGCTGTTGGGAGATTTTTTTGTTACTGACTGATGCAATTGCTTTGCTGGATATCAGCCTGTTCAAGCTTTCTATTCCTTCCTGTTTCAGTTTTGGTAGTTTATATGTTTCTAGGAATTTATCCATTTCTTCCAGGTTGTCCAGTTTGTTGTCATATTGTATTTCATAATATCCTCTTTTACTTCTTTGTATTTCGGTGGTGTTGGTTCTCATTTCTCCTCTCTCATTTGTGATTTTATTTATTTGGGTCCTTTCTATTTTCTTCTTAAAAGTATGGCTAGAGGGTTATCAATTCTACTGACTTTTTCAATGAGCCAGCTCCAGGTTTCATCGATCTCTTCTACTGTTTCTTTAGTTTCTATAGCATTGTTTCTGCACTAACCTAAATATACTTCCCTTCTTCTGCTGGCTTTAGGCTTCATTTTTTGTTCTTTCTCCAGCTCCTTTAGGTGTAAGTTTAGGTTGTTTATTTGAGATTTTTCTTGTCTCTTAAGGTAGGCCTGTATTGCCATATACTTTCCTCTTAGGACCACTCTTGCTGCATCCCAAAGGTTTTGAACTGTCGTGTTTTCACTTTCATTTGTTTCCATGTATTTTTAAAACTTCTTCTTTAATTTCCTGGTTGGCCCATTCTCTGGTTAGGAGCATGCTGCTTATCCTCTACCTATTTGAGGTCGTTACAAATGTTTTCTTTTGCTCAACTTCAAGTTTCATAGTTTTGTGGTCAGAAAAGATGCATGGTATGATCTTGATCGTTTTGTACTTGTTGAGGCCTGATTTGTGACCCAATATGTGAACTATTCTGGAGAATACTCTGTGTGTGCTCCAAAAGGTATGTATTCTGCTGCTTTGGGATGAAATGTCCTGAACATATCTATTAAGTCCATCTGGTCCAGGGTGTCATTCAAAGCCATTGTTTCCTGCTTAGATGATCTGTCCATTGCTGTAACTGGGGTGTTAAGGTCCCTTACTATTATTATATTATCATCAATGAGTTTCTTTATGTTTGTTATTAATTGATTTATATATTTGGGTGCTCCCAAGTTGGGGGCATCAATATTTACAGTTGTTAGATCTTCTTGATGGATAGTCCCTCTACTATGATACAGCTCCCTTCTTTTTTTTTTTTTTGAGTTTGCCAAATTTATTGGTATTTTAGTAAAGACATTCATCTCAGTCATTTCTCTCCCATCTTGACCTTAGGTTAATATTTCATTTGAGTCAATAAAAGATTATGTAGGAAAGGGATGTTATTTTAACATAAACAGTAAAATGGACAAAGTGGAAAGTTTGCCTACATTAAAGCAAGTTAAATTCATGTATCTTGATAGAATTAAATCATGTAAGAACTAACAGTTCTATATACATTTCCATTGTTTTACTTGGGGCTTACTGTAAACTTAAATGCAAATGAACAAAGTGTTAGGAGTATATACAGGCTGCTTCTCTGGAGTTATTACCTATTAAAAGAGCTCAGCGAGTAGTTACCACCAATAAAATAGTCTGAAGCTGCCTCCAAATTAAACATTGCAGGAGTTTTCAAAGAAACCATTATACTCTGTTTCTTTTATCTGGGACTATGCTTTTAAAGATGTGTTTTAACTGTCACATTAAAAAATAATCCATATAGGGCAGCCTGGGTGGCTCAGCAGTTTAGCGCGCCTTCAGCCCAGGGTGTGATCCTGGAGACCTGGGATCGAGTCCCACATCGGGCTCCCTGCATGGAGCCTGCTTCTCCCTCTGCCTGTGTCTCTGCCTCTCTCTCTCTTTGTGTGCCTCTCATGAATAAATAAATAAAATCTTTAAAAAAAATCCATATACAAAAATTCTAAAAAAAAATCCTACAATACATAGATCTAACAACGTATATGTGGTCAAAAAATCCATAAAATGTTTAAAGATGCATTTTCTTTTTTATCTTCAGTACCTAAAATGTGCTTTTGAGAGGCCATTGGTTAATATGTATACACTTTAAATGAACTGTTATTACTGTACTAAAATAAGAATTGTTGCATTAAGTTGAAATCAAATTCACTTTCACAAGTTAGTAACTTAAAGTAAGCTTTAACAAAGTTACAGAAAGTGCATCTTTCTCATTTTCATCTTCATACAATGTTGCTTTTTTGGTGTTTCTGCCTTTTAAAAATTAAAACCAGCCAAATATTTAAGTATTATGTACATTTAAATTTTTGGTGGTGGTTTGTATTTTAAAAGAAACAGCTTCCTTATGATTTGCCTCAAGATCTGGTGGAAATGCTTACAGGAACTAGCTAATAACAAAAACCAAGAGAAGCACATTCAAAATACTGATTTACTTTGGCAGCAAATGGTCTTTGAAGACTAATGAAGGTAGACAAGACCCGTCAAAGTGAAGTGGGCTATCTCAAATACACAACAATTTACATAGACGTTCTTAAATTTTTTTAAATATTTTATTTATTCATGAGAGACACAGGGAGAGAGAGAGAGAGAGAGAGAGAGAGAGAGGCAGAGACACAGGCAGAGGGAGAAGCAGGCCCCAAGCAGGGAGCCCGACGTGGGTCCCGATCCAGAGTCTCCAGGATCAGGCCCTGGGCCCAAGGCGGCGCTAAACCACTCAGCCACCCAGGGTGCCCCTTAAAAAATTTTTTTTAAAGAGCTAAGCATCTGTACCAACCAATAGCAATGCAATACCTAGTTTATGACGACTTGAAACAAAACAAATGCCCATTAGGAAAAAGAAAAGCTGTATTTTATCTAATATACTTTCAGTCAATAGTCCAGGAACATTTTCCTCCCAATAGGATACTCCCTCTCTATAAGGCTGTTCCTGGGAGCCAGACACTTTAGGTTAATAAGGGAGTTAAGACTAATTGCTTGCAGTTTAATAGACAATAACTTTTTGCGTCCCTCTTAATGTGCTAATAGTTGTGTCTAAAACAATATGCAATTCTTAGAAAGGTACCATTTCTGGGTTTTTTATTATCTGTAACCTTTGGAAACTAATCACATGAAACTACAAAATTAGCAGATGTCTTGAAATCTGTATATAAAACATAAATTACCTCTAATTTCAAACTCTATTAGTGTACCACTCAATCTTTAAAAAACCAAACAAAACAAAACAAAAAAAAAAAACAAAACAAAAAGGCGGCTCCAAAGATAATCTTATACCATTCTTTTAAAAAGGAAACTGTTCCTTTTAACTTTATACCCACCCCACACCCCAATTTCAAAACACATCATTTAATTGTCTTGGTCATGGACATTTCCAAGATGAGATTTTATATTTTGCTCCCATAGCTTCTGGTTATCAGAAAAACCATGCTTTCCTTTATTGAAGGAGTTTGGTCCTGCTGATGTTGGTGTATCCCTTCCAATATTCTTCATCCGCATCTTTGCTTCTGGAGGCATTTCCTCTGGTTCACTATCTTCATCTTCGTTAAAAGCTGCTGCTACTGAAAGGGTTTTTGGAGCAAGCGTTGGAACAGTTTCTTTAGGCTTATTTGATCCAAGTTTGATGGATATGGCTGAGGCTTTCTTTGTCGTCTGACTACCTATGGCAAATCCAAACTTGGAGATCTTTGTAGGCTTTGTTGGGAGGTCTGCAGCTTCTTCTTCAGCTGATCGCTTCTCAGCGCTGCGACTGGAACTTTCCCCTCCATTACTGGAAGAAAGTCTTAGTTTTCACAGGTTTTTCTGCTTCTTCTTCAGGTCCTCCCGCGGCTCCAGCTCGCTGCGGTTTCTCGGGCTTCTCCTCTCCCGCCTTCCCGTCCGCCATTTTCCCTGCCGCGGCCTCCTCTGCAGCCATGCCAAGCTATAGCGCCCTTCTTTATCTCTTATTACAGGCTTTGGTTTAAAATCTAGTTTTTCTTTTTTTTCTTTTTTTTAAGATTTTTTTTATTTTTTTTATTTATGATAGTCACACAGGGAGAGAGAGAGAGAAGCAGAGACATAGGCAGAGGGAGAAGCAGGCTCCATGCACCGGGAGCCCGACGTGGGATTCGATCCCGGGTCTCCAGGATCGCGCCCTGGGCCAAAGGCAGGCGCCAAACCGCTGCGCCACCCAGGGATCCCTAAAATCTAGTTTTTCTGATATAAGTATTGCTACTCCGGCTTTCTTTTGATGTCCATTTGCATGATAAATGTTTCTCCATCCCCTCACTTTCAATCTGAAGGTGTCTTTAAGTCTAAAAATGAGTCCCTTGCAGGCAGCATATAGATGGGTCTTGTTGTTGTTGTTGTTTTTAATACGTTCTGGCATCCTCTGTCTTTTGATTGGAGCATTTTGTCCATTTGCATTCAGAGTGGTTATTCATAGATACGTATTTAGTGCCATTTTATTGCTTGTTTGGTCATTATTTCTAGATTTTCTCTGTTCCTTTCTTGTCTTTGTCACTTTTGGTCTTCCCTTCCCAATCAAAGAGCGCCGTTTAATATTTCTTGTAGGGCTGCTGTAGTGGTCACAATCTCCTTTAGTTTTTGTTTGTCTGGGAAACTCTTTACCTCTCCTTCTATTCTGAATGAAAGCCTTGCTGAATAGAGAATTCTTGGCTGCAGACTTTTCCCATTCATCACGTTGAGCATATCATGCCACTCACTCCCTTCTGGCCTGCCAAGATTCTGTGGAGAGATCTACTGCTAGCTGTATGGATCTTCCCTGGTGAGTTACGGATTTCTTTTTTTTTTAATTTATTTATTTATAGTAGTCACAGAGAGAGAGAGAGGGAGGGGCAGAGACATAGGCAGAGGGAGAAGCAGGCTCCATGCACCGGGAGCCCGATGTGGGACTCGATCCCGGGTCTCCAGGATCGCGCCCTGGGCCAAAGGCAGGCGCCAAACCGCTGCGCCACCCAGGGATCCCGAGTTACGGATTTCTTTTGTCTTGCTGCCTTTCGGATTTTTTTCTTTATCACCATATTTTGCAAACTGTTCTGCAATATTGTCTTGGTATTGGCCTGCTTTTGTTGATTTTGTCATGAGTTCTCTGTGCCTCCTGGAACTAGATGTCTGTTTCATTCCCCAGACTAGGAAATTTTTCAGCTATTATTTTCCTCAAATAAACCTTCTGCCCCCTTTTCTCTCTTCTTCTTCTTCTGGGACTTTTATGAAATGAATGTTATTACGCTTGATGGACTCACTGGGTTCCCTCAGTCTACTCTTGTGGTTCAAAATTTTTCTTTCTCTCTTTTGTTCAGCTCTATTATTTTCCATAATTCCCATCTTTGATATCACTTATTCATTCGTCTGCCTCTTCCATCCTTGTGGTCATTACACCCAGTCGGTTTTGAATCTTAGTTACTGCATTTTTCATTTTGGTCTGATTGGTGTTTAGCTCCTGTACGTCTGCAGTAAGGGTCTCCCTGATGTCTTCCAAGCTTTTCTCAAGCCCAGTTAGTATCCTTATGATTGTTGCTTTAAATATTGGATCAGGTATATTCTGTATATCTGTTTCGATTAGATCCCTGGCCATGATCTTTTCTTGTTCTCTTTTGGGATGAATTCCTCCATCCTGGCATTTTGTCTAGGTCTCTGGCTTCTTCTGTGTTAGAAAAGCCTGTTCGGCAGCCTGAGTGGCTCAGCAGTTTAGTGCCACTTTTGGCCCAGGGCGTGATCCTGGAGACCCAGGATCAAGTCCCACATGGCTACATGGAGCCTGCTTCTCCCTCTGCCTGTGTCTCTGCCTCTCTGTGTGTGTCTCTCTGTCTCTCATGAATAAATAAATAAAATCTTTTTAAAAAAAAAAAAAGAGAGAAAAGCCTGTTATGTTTCCTGCTCCTGCAAGTAATGGTTTTATGAAGAAGAGTTTGTATAATGTTCAGGGCCCGGTGCTTCAGGAAGTGTCTCTGGTGTGTGCTATGTGCCCTCTGGTGCTGCGTTTTGTCTGTTCTATCCCTCAGGCCAGTCATCTGCAGAGGTTCTCCTTGCTTATAGTGGGGAGTGTTTGGACCTTGGCCAGAATGTGGCCAGTTTTAACTAGTTGTGCTCCATTCTGCTTGTTAAAAGGGACCTGGCACTCTTTCCACTAGAACTGAAGCTTTGTGGAACTCTGTGGTCAGTAGACATCCTGTGTGCAGGGGTTTCTGCTGGTCTTCTGGGGAAGTGGCCCACTAATCCCATCCTGAAGCACACTTGCCCAAGAGCAGCATTAATACCAGCAGAGCACAGGGAGACAGGACTTGGTATAAGCAGGTAAGGCAGCCAGTGTTGGCACTATGGTGTTTACTGAAGTTAGTTTATGCTGAGGGGCAGGGCAGAGAAATGGCACCAGACAGCTCCTTTGTCCACAGGGACAGGTGTCCACGAGTCCATTTTTACTGTTCTCAGGGAAGCACTTTTGACGGAGCAAATAATCTCCACTCAAGCACCAGGATTTTTTTCAGATCGCTGTTTTCACACTGTCTGTCTCTGGGTTGCTTGTTTGCCTGGAGCAGTGCAGTGCACCTTGGGCTCTATCTCAGCCACCCCTGCCAATTTTTAAAATTCCAAACGTCAGGGACCTGGTGTGGCGGGGGCCTGTGCTGGTCCTTGGGACAGGGTATCACAGTGCTGGGAACGATTCAGGTGTGACTCAGAAGGGCAGCCATGCCAGAACACAGGGGCATGGGTTTGGAGCAAAGCAGGCTAAACAGCCAGTGTCCGGGTTTGCCGCCCTCAGCAGATATGTCTGCACCTATGCTGAGGGGCAAGGGAGGGAAGTGGTGCCTGCCAGTTCTTTTGTCCCCAGAGAGACAATGCCACCTCTCACAGACGCACTCCAGAAAGTATGAACGGTCTCTCCCCATGCACCTGGGGTGGTCCTCAGATCCCGCAGTCTTTCCCGCGTTGCTGGCCTGTTTTGTCTCTAGGAGTAAGGGCAATGTCTTCAGGCCTCTATCCCAGCAAAGCCCAGGGACCTCTAAAACTCCAGTGTTTGTGTCCTGCTGGTTGCAATTACTCACAAAAATCAGCCTCGCTGGTTTTCTAAGCCAATGGCTTCGGAGCAGTCTTCTCCTCACATGTATCCCTGTGCATTCCACTCCCTCTTGCGTTTCCCTGCAACCAGGGCACCCTCCTCCCCTCTGCAGCTCCCATGATCCCTTTCTCCCCCAAACCACATCTCTGTACTTCCTACCTTCCTCATTGTGGCCTCTTCTCTCCCTCTAGTGGTGCAGTTTGTTCTACTAGTCCTCAGGTTGATTTCTTGGGTATTCAGAATGATTTGATAGTTACCTGTGTTCCAAGGATGCTGCCATCTTAGCACTCCCATCAATGTCTTATAGTTTACAGGGAACAGGTTTTTTAGCTCTTTGGTTAGGTTTATTCCTAGATATCTTACGGTTTTTTTTTTTTCTGTAAGTGTGAATGGGATCCATACCTTCGTTTCTCTTTCTGCTGCTTCATTATTGGCATATAGAAGTGCAACAGAGTTCTGTATGTTGATTCTGTAGCCTGTGACTTTGTGGAATTCGTGCATCAGTTCTAGCAATTTTTTGATGGTGTCTTTCAGGTTTTCTATATTGAGTATCATGTCATCTGCAAATAGTGAAAGTTTTACTTCCTCCCTGCTGATTTGGTTACTTTTTATTTCTTTTTGTTGTCTGATTGCTGTGGCTAGGGCTTCCAAAACTCTGTTAAAGAAGCAGTGGTGAGAGTGGACATCCCTGTCTTGTTCCTGACATAGAGGAGGAGCTCTCAGTTTTTGCCCATTGAGGATGACAGTGGCTGCGGGTTTTTCGTATTTGGCCTTCATTATGTTATGTTCCCTCTACCCTAGTTTGTTGAGGGTTTTTATAATGAATGGATGCCCTACTTTGTCAAATGCTTTTTCTGCCTCTGTTGAGAGGATCATATGGCTCTTTTCTTTTATTAATGTGGTGTGTCACATTGATTGATTTGCAAATATCAAAGTATACTGACAGCCTAGGAATAAGTCCCAGTTGATCGTGGAGAAAGATTCTTTTAATATATTGTTGGATTAGGTTTGCTAGTATTTTCTTAAGAATTTGTTGCATCCGTGTTCATCAGGGATATTGGCCTGTAGTTCTCTCTCTCTCTCTCTCTCTCTCTCTCTCTCTCTCTCTTTTGCTGGAGTCTTTGTCTGGTTTTGATATCAGGGTAGTGCTGGTTTCATACAATGAAGTTGGAAGTTTTCCTTCCTTTTATTTTTTTTTTTTTTGGAATCATTTGAGAAAACTAGGTATTAAGTCTTCTCTAAATGTTTGGTAGAATTCCCCTGTGAAGCTGTATGGCCCTGGACTGTTGTTTGTTGGGAGATTTTTTTATTACTGCTTCAATTTCTTTGCTGGTAATCAGTATGTTCAAGTTTTCTGTTCCTTCCTGTTTCATTTTTGGCAGATTATATGTTTCTAGGAATTTATCCATTTTTTTTCCAGGTCGTTGGCATATTGTTTTCCATCATATTCTCTTGTAATTGTCCATATTTCTATGGTGTTGGTTGTTATCGCTCCTCTCTCATTTGTGATCTTATTTATTTGGGTCCTTTCTCATTTCTGTTTTATAAGTCTAGATAGTGGTTTATCAATTTTATTCTTTTTTTTTTTTCAAAGAACCAGCTCCTGGTTTCATTGACCTGTTCTGTTCTATTGTTTTTGGTTTTTTTAGTTTCCATATCATTTATTTCTGCTCTAACCTTTATTCTTTCCTTCCTGCTGATTTTAGGTTTTGTTTGCGGTTCTTTTTCTAGCTCCTTAAGGTGTAAGGTTAGGTTGTTTATTTGAGATTCTTTGTGCCTCTTTTTTTATTTTTTTATTTTATTTTTTTATAAATTTTTATTTATTT